AAAATAAAAAAAAAAGAAGAAAAAACCGCTGAATGTAATCTTGCGCGAGCGTAAAATTATACCCGCAAACTGCCGAAGTAGCGCGCGAGTTCGTTCCGGGGGTAGGAGACGGAGTATAGCCATTAAAGCCGACGAGCGTAATTGCCAAAGAGAGTAAAATAAAAGAAAAGTAGAAGACGCCCGAAAAGCTGGCACAAAGTTCGGCTTGCACCGGCGAAGCTCGCGGGGGTACATACATACAGGTATACACGGATTATAATATATATAATGTAGCGTGACAGGATGTGCTTGCAAAGTCGGGCGCACGCGACTTGGCCGCACACACACGTCGTATCCATCGATTTTCCTCATGTTATACCCCGCGGTGTGCTATAGCTGGCATATATACATATACACACTTGTAAGTATTAATTTTACTAAGTAATGCACTAACAACTCTATTAAAATAGTAGATATTGTAAGGGTACTTAAATAAAATAAACAGATAATAGATCCAAAAATGAGTAGTACAATAGAAGAATTAAATGAAAACCAATTAAGAGAACAACACAGAGTTCCTTTAAAAACCAAGTTTGCCTATGGAGTTGGCCACGTTCTAAATGATGTTTGTGCTTCTATGTGGTTTACATATTTATTAGTATATTTTCATCTGGTACTTGGATTTGAACCTGCAGCAGCAGGCCTAGTGTTACTTGTTGGACAGATTGCAGATGCTCTGGCTACTCCCTTTGTTGGCTATCACTCAGATAAGGATGATAATTATTGGCTGTGTCGATATGGTAAAAGGAAAACTTGGCATTTATTTGGTAGGTCAACAAACTTTTTAATAAATGTTTTTATCATACCGAGCATGGAAATTAATTTTTAATCGGTATGTACATAGGCACAATTTGTGTACTGGGAACATTCCCATTTATATTTTCCGAATGCATTAACTGTGATACATCCCACTGGTGGGCAAAACTTATTTACTATGGAGCTTTTGTGGTAATATTTCAATTTGGTTGGGCCTCGGTACAGATTTCCCACTTGTCACTGATACCTGATCTTACTCCATCCGATCATGAACGCACAGCTCTCACAGCAATTAGGTATTCAATGAGTAAAATTTTCCATCAACATTTATAGAAAAAAATAAAACTGAAACTAAATCAGTTAAACCTTCATTTTTAGATATTCGTTTACCGTTATTTCAAACGTCCTTGTTTTTTCCGTCACGTGGGCGGTACTGCACATCACAAGTGAGGATCCAATGGAAAAAATCGGGCCAAAAGATGCATATAAATTTCAACGAATAGTATTAATCGGAATGTCCATTGGATTGTTGGCAACCTTTATTTTCCACGTATTAGTTAAAGAATTTAATTCACGAGACTCACAAGGTGAGAGAATTGTATTTTTTATCGTAAAAGAGAAATGATAGAAATTTTTTGTCCCAACAGATGGTACTCCACAGCAATCGCCAAGAGAATTAAAATCACCCTTCTCCATATTCAAAGATCCTGAGTTGTATAGATTAGCATTCATATACATGCCCACTCGATTGTTTGTTAATCTGACACAAACCTACATTCCCCTCTATTTACACGAGAGTCTGAATATGCCGGCAACGGCTTTGGCCGTTATACCTTTGGTGATGTATTTAAGTAGCTTCAAAGCTTCTTTAACCATCAATTATTTAAATAAAAAACTAGGAAGAAAGTTGTCCTATCTCATCGGCGCAACAATGGGGATAAGCGCTTGTGTATTCATATGGTTTGGCAAGGGTGACAATTTTTCGAAACTCTACATTTATCCGACCTCGTTGTTGATAGGTAAAGAAATGTTGCACCCACCTCATTTGAATTTAACACCTATGAAACGAAAACTTTTAAAATGTAAATTCACGCGCAGGTTCCGGTGGTTCAATGATGCTCGTCACGAGTCTTGCCGTAACAGCCGATTACATAGGCATCAGTACGGAAAACGGAGCGTTCGTTTACGGCGTTATGAGCTTCACCGATAAACTTTCCAACGGTATCGCCGTCATGATCATCCAATACTTGTAAGTGGAATTTTCATTTATTACTTGCTATTGTTTGATTAACATTGACGCGAAAAGTTTCTTCGTGCGACGATATGAGATCATAATTTTAAACCAAAACTTTTCTCGATGTCAAGATATACTTGGCCTATTTAAATACAAAATATATACATGTACACTACCACGTAGAAGATCGCGTTTCAATTCGACTATTTATATGCACACATTGAGGAGTATTATCATGTTTTAGGTCTCGTGTCGTGAAACTAGGCGATAAAAACTAAGAGTCGCGAAAACAATGATTTATCTTGGCCAATTACCCTACTTGTAGTGCAATTAATAATGAGATGTAAGTTATTTATTCTTTTTCCAGCAAATGCGTCGTAATTTGTACCGATTACTACAAGGGAGTTTTGACGTTCGTTTGCGGCGGAGCAGCTTTGGTGGGACTTGTGATGACACTCAGCAGAAATATATGCAACCGAAGCAACGATAGCGCGATGAATTACAACAATTTCAGCACAACGCGGGACGAAGAAAATGAAGATGGCTCGACTACTGCCTAATGTACCAAGAAAAAAAAAAAAAAAAAAAAAAAAAAAAAAAAAAAAAAAAGTATTATTATCACACGCTGCAGATGTTCAAGCAAAAACTCTGGTGCTAAACAACACGCGTACAAGAAAATAAGACTTTTTAAAGCTACGAATGCCCGCTATGAATCTCCTGTATCGATAAGAACTACTTTTTATATGAAACACATGCGCATTTGTTGATGAATTTTACAAACCAA